TGCCAATTTTGTTGTGAGGCGACGAAATGTACCTGACCATATTTGGAAACTATTGACGTATAAATAGCCGATTCTGTCTAGAACAATAAAAACGATCTACCATCAAACACTAAACTGTAATATATAGCATCCATTGATCAGCAGCATGGTCCTCTTCCCTCTGACCATGTCAGATATTCCTAACAATAGCTGTGTCACATGGGATTTCACACCACGTCGACCGTGTACATGGACGTGTTGGATCTCAGAGCATATCCACTAATTAATGAGTTATTACCTAGATCTGATTCTCTGAGCACTGTCCGGAAACCCTTCAAATCTCGCAAGGTTTCGTATTATTTATAAAGTGTCCACATTCTGGCCTGTCGAGTGAACGGTAAAGTTGTGATGATTTATCCAAATTAAACACTTTCTTTATCCAATGTCATACTACATAAATAGGAAACGAGTCAGCTAATTCATTGTTGTAATGATTTTGCAGTGATGATTGCTTCCGTGAAGTATGGCATGGAGTTTCCGGTTCACGAACTTCCACGAGAGGGAAGGCGTCAGAGAAATTACCCTAAATAAGGTGAAGTTTTTTAATCCCGATCAAAACATAAGGACTGGCAAACAAAACGCTAACTCCCGATCTAAGTTGTTCGCTTTTGCAGTTGCTGTTCCATACTATCACAGTTTCAAATGCATACTTGGAAACTACCTCAACATAACACCTTAGCAATAAAAGACAGCATCGACACGGAAAGGTAGATAATAGAAAAGAAACATCGCTTTCATTTACAACTCGATTTTGTGTACACAAAGTAGAAGTCTATCTGAAAGTAATCTACATCTTATTACGAAAGAAAATTGAAACCATTTTCAAATTTAAAAACAACCAGCGTTCACATTAAAGTTCCATTCGTTAACAAAGTTTTCAATTTAAGTTCATTTTGTAGAGAAAGACCTTCGGTGTAAGATATAAACAGTAGCTAAAGACCTTTGTTGTGAGGTTCAAGTCTTCCACAATTGCCTAAAGCTCATCTTTGAAACACATATTAAAATTTTACGTGTTTTCGTTGTAGGGTTTATGAAACACTTCGGATGAATTAACATTAACGTTTCATTTATATTCAAAAACTCTGTTTGAAAAGTTCCATTGTGATCGAAAACAAATATTTACCAGTTTGCGGCTATAATCATAAGCTTAAGTTACAGAGAATGTCATGAAAGAAATTGCCCTTCAGCTTTTCTGTTTTGACCTCTTTTCGTCGACTCTATCGACAACGACCTCTACCAGCCGAAAGAGATACAGGTAATCTGATGTTTCCGATCTCGTTAATACGAGATTGATTACGTTATTAATACCCGATACAGATCTCGTCATTACGAGATAACGTTTTCATTTAAATGATATGCAAATCTCGTAAGTACGAGATAACAATTTTGTTAAGTGACATCTGAATCTCGTTGATGCGAGATAACGATTTCGTGAATGCGATATTCGATTCTCGTTACTACGAGAGAACGGCCTCATGAATAGCAGATATATCAGCTCCATCAGACGACTTATACTCGGAATACCGCACGACCATCACCTTGTTTTAGCATCACGTGAAAGCATCGGTATATAATTATGTACATTTCAATACATTAAGGGACGATAGGTAGAAAATTAAACCCCGATGTTATGTAACTTATGCTACAAAGGTTCGGCATATAGGTATAAGTTTATAATAAAAAGATAATTTCACATTAAAGATCATCACAAGTCTCAGTAGAAGTCTACTAGACAACCTGTTATTGTGTTTTATGACGTAAATTATTTATTTTCCTCTTGTGGTGCCATCCCTGTGAGACGAAAATTACCATAGAAAATGGAAAATCGATATGTCCATTTGTCGCCACGAGAAAGTCATACAAGATTCGTGTCGAAATTAATGAGATTCAAATTACATTGACAAAAATGGTCCCCGTGCTTGGAACATTTAAGAATCACTTTTAAAACATTCTGCTTGTTACTCATGGATGAAATAGCATGAGCTTGGTTTTCGTTTTATTCACTTTCCAAGATGCTGGGATATTTTGTTTAGGATTAAAGGATATATATATAATATATACATATATATACAGCAGTTCGAGCAAAACATATTTGTTGGACTAAGTTAATCGTCACAGAAAATCCTTCTTGAAATGTTTTATCCGAAAGAACGAAACCAATTTATGAATGTATTATGCCGTAATTCCACACTACATTAGTAACGGATGAAAAACCTAATTAGGTGTTAGTTCTGGTACATGTCATCCGAATAATGTGACGTAATACAGTCGTGTGTGTTGTCACTCGAATAATGTGACGTAATACAGTCGTGTTTGTTGTCACTCGAATAGTGTGACGTAATACAGTCGTGTGTGTTGTCACTCGAATAATGTGACGTAATACAGTCGTGTGTGTTGTCACCCGAATAAAGTGACGTAATACAGTCGTGTGTGTTGTCACTCGAATAGTGTGACGTAATACAGTAGTGTGTGTTGTCACTCGAATAGTGTGTCGCATAGTTGGTAAATACTAGACGCAATATACCGCTCCGAGTCTTAGCGGAGGCATTGAAATACATAATGATCTATGTTACCTTGGCGCCATTGCAGGGAGTCGTTAATAATACTCAGCTGACATCGCTGTTACTCATGGAAACTGGAGGACGAGTTATTTCCCGGAGAGGGAGTATGTAACCCTGATAAATACTAGCCGCAATTTACCGCTCGACTAGGGAAATATCTTTAGCTCGATCGGTAAAGTGTCACGCTAGTAAGCAAGGGGTTCCGGGTTCGAGTCCTAGTCTATTGTCACTCGAATAGTGTGACGTTTTCGGTATCAGAACTGTACTCGATGTTGGGTGCTGATATAGTACCTCAGGTTTTCAGCTTGGCCTGTACGCGTCATAGAACCTGAAGGCAACAAATCAGTTTAGAGTTTGGACATGCGCATAACAGTTCACACCTTTATGTGTTTAATCGCCTGATGGAGTTTCAATCATTTCCTAAAAAGTGATAACAACCGGCCGCTTACATCATTCTAAATTATCGAAATTGATTCCCAAATACCAAATGACAACTTCGGTTTGTGAAACAGACATCAACATCATGGTGTTCTGTTTGTTTTTTGTTCATCTGGATTTGGATTACTCATGGCACGTGCTTTATCGCTTCGTTTTTATCAATGTTCCGTATGTTTTGCTCCGGTTCCTTTTTATTCTTTAGTCAGTCAACCAACAAGAGTCTCGGTTTGAGTGAACGGTATGTTCTGTTTTGCCACCAGTTTCGTTGGTAGCTTCATTTATAAGGTTTATATTAGGCAGTCAAGAGCTTTTATCGGCCCAAGTCCTTTTGTTCCAAACATATCTGTGTTTTGCCTTTACAAAGCAATTGCACTCGAACCTATGGGTTCTGACAGGAAGATGAAGAATTCACAAAGCCGTATTCTGCTATAAGTATGACGGGTAAAATATGATAGACGCGTGGGCACGATATGTCACGAGCCTAAATATTGATCAATATTAATCGGGAGAATTTTCCTTTGTAACAAACCTTTGTTGCGAAAAATCTTCAAATAGAACAAAAAAGTATTAGTTTGTATTTAAACCCATCACAAAGAAACGTTATCAAATGAGACAGAAAATCTACTTAGGTCTTGGTTTCTGATCAATCAACGGTTATCGATCTGACAAAAAGCATAAGGCTCTCGCCGACACTTACATAAACAGGGTTATTGTATACGGTCACATAACTTTTCTCCATTACACTGGAATTACTCTCTACTAAAACCTGTTTACTATCGACACAGGAGGAGCGGGTGACGTTCGATCTGCGGATGCCAAATTACTTCTAACGCCGTACTAGGTCGATCCGTGTCCCACTATTCATTCACTATTTTCACTCTTGATCCTTCAACTGAACGATAGTTTAATGGGTCCCCCTCCTGTGATGTATTACTTAAACCTATTACTGAAAGCCTTGTTTCGAACCAATGAGGTTGGAAATCGCAAAGGTACAGAATCTGGTATAGACAAATGCACGTTTCCGGTTGACATCGATTCCAAAGCGTGCTGCAGGCTTTTCGGGGCTAATATAGCTCAGGAAAGATGCCGGTATAGTGATGATAGGTTCTAGTCACTAGTTTTATGTCAAGTTCAATTACATGTGATGAGTGATAAAGAGATACGGAAGACGACAGGAAAACCAATTTGGCTATGTAGATTATCGAGTTTCTAAACAAAGATATCAGGTCGACAGATACTTAACAAACATTACACGAGTTATCAGTAATATATATATATGGTTCTCTTAATATTCTCCCATCCAGTGTAAGCAAAACGTTGATGTTCCTATATAGATGATCGATTATCATTATACAGATCACGTGATATTATGTTGTATGTTGATTGGCTAACGTTATTTACAAGCAAGAAGTACTGGATCCGGATTGTCATTTTTTCCTTCCGAATACCAGATTTTTATTTTGTGAGCGTACGTGTCCATAAATAATTATTTTCATTGGAATTTAAAAATTATATAAGCTACGAAATGTTACCACATCGCATTTATTAAGAAACCGTAAAGAGAATTGCGATGGTGAGATAATGCCCGTTATAGCAACTGGCTAATGTACTTAATTTGCGTGTTCTGCCGCATAACAGATAACGACAGGTTTTGATTGGTGTGTTCTGTACACTGAAGGTCTGCATTGACATTTCATGATTAATTAATGTATCATGTGCTGATTAATGCATGTCAAAGATGTAAATTTGTGTCAGTCCAATAGATATCATCTGAAGTGTCACCGAGGCTTCACTTATTAGGTAAATGACATGTGACACGAAGGTTTGATAGTTAAAAAGTTCAAACCTAAGGACAGATATCCTACCTGCAGTAGTTTACATATGATTTTGTAAAGGAATTGATATATACAATTTAGAACTGGCTATAAAATACACTACATAAAAATCATTTTTTTTCCTTACCCAGAAGTTTTCCGGACGGAAGACGTCGAATCGTTGATGCGTAGCGCCCGTCCTACTGAGATGTTCTTTAACATAGTCATAGTTGTCTATCTTAGAGATAGCATCATCTAGTGTGGTCATTACGAGAGTCGCATGCTGTTCCAGATACTCGTTCTGACGTAATTCATCCTCGGACTGTATGTTGGTAAACTTCTCAAATATCGCCATTAGGTCGGCATTCGACTTAAACAACCTGGAAAATAAAGAAATATTGTAATGTTAAAGAGTGTTTAAACCAATTAGCAATTGTATAGGAATACGATAAAATTTACATGTAGTAATGGACAGGTGTGAAAACATCATGATGTGAAGGGTGCTCGATAAGATAGATATAATAGCAATAGTATCAGTGTTTATTTCAATGTGAAACTGAAAAACATATCAAGCTTCGTGAAGACGATATCGTAATATCTGACGTTTGTTGTCGGAGTAATTCTTTTATCACATTCCCATAGATGCACAATATGGAACAGTTCGATAAACATGACACATATATACAGACGCATAAGTTTCCAGTTTTTCACCAAAATAATTGATACAAGTTTAAATTGAAACACGACACATTCACTGAGTTTATCATCCATGTCACCAATACATTAGTGTTGTCATAAGTAAACCAGTGTTCCTACTGTATCAAGTAACCATGTTACTGACTCTGAGTCAGTGTTTCTGCTGTATCAAGTTACAATGATACTGACTCTGAACCAGTGTTCCTACTGTATCAAGTAACAATGCTACTGACTCTGAGCCAGTATTCCTACTATATCAAGTAACAAGGATACTGACTCTGAGCCAGTGTTTCTACTGTATCAAGTAACAATGTTACTGACTCTGAACCAGTGTTTCTGCTGTATCAAGTAACAATGATAGGGACTCTCTGAGTCAGTGTTTCTACTGTATCAAGTAACAATGATACTGACTCTGAGCTAGTGTTTCTACTGTATCAAGTAACAATGGTACGGACTCTGAGCCAGTGTTTCTGCTGTATCAAGTAACAATGATAGGGACTCTCTGAGTCAGTGTTTCTACTGTATCAAGTAACAATGATACTGACTCTGAGCTAGTGTTTCTACTGTATCAAGTGACAATGATACGGACTCTGAGCTAGTGTTTCTACTGTATCAAGTAACAATGGTACGGACTCTGAGCCAGTGTTTCTACTGTATTAAATAACAATGGTACGGACTCCGAGTCAGTGTTTTTACTGTATTAAGTAACAATGACACTGACTCTGAGTCAGTGTTTCTACTGTATCAAGTAACAATGTTACTGACTCTGAGCAAGTGTTTCTACTGTATCATCAAGTAACAAGGATACTGACTCTGAGCCAGTGTTCTTACTGTATCAAGTAACAATGACACTGACTCTGAGTCAGTGTTTCTACTGTATCAAGTAACAATGTTACTGACTCTGAGCCAGTGTTTCTACTGTATCATCAAGTAACAAGGATACTGACTCTGAGCCAGTGTGTCTACTGTTTCATCAAGTGACAATGATACTGACTCTGAGCCAGTGTTTCTACTGTATCAAGTAACAATGATACTGACTCTGAGCCAGTGTTTCTACTGTATCAAGTAACAATGATACTGACTCTGAGCTAGTGTTTCTACTGTATCATCAAGTAACAAGGATACTGACTCTGAGCCAGTGTTCTTACTGTATCAAGTAACAATGACACTGACTCTGAGTCAGTGTTTCTACTGTATCAAGTAACAATGTTACTGACTCTGAGCCAGTGTTTCTACTGTATCATCAAGTAACAAGGATACTGACTCTGAGCCAGTGTTTCTACTGTTTCATCAAGTGACAATGATACTGACTCTGAGCCAGTGTTTCTACTGTATCAAGTAACAATGATACTGACTCTGAGCCAGCGTTTCTACTGTATCAAGTAACAATGCTACTGACTCTGAGCCAGTGTTTCTACTGTATCAAGTAACAAGGATACTGGCTCTGAGCCAGCGTTTCTACTGTATCATCAAGTAACAATGTTACTGACTCTGAGCCAGTGTTTCTACTGTATCAAGTAACAATGATACTGACTCTGAGCTAGTGTTTCTACTATATCATCAAGTAACAATGATACTTACTCTGAGCCAGTGTTTCTACTCTATCAAGTAACAATGATACTGACTCTGAGCCAGTGTTTCTACTGTATCAAGTAACAATGACACTGACTCTGAGTCAGTGTTTCTACTGTATCAAGTAACAATGATACTGACTCTGAGCCAGTGTTTCTACTGTATCATCAAGTAACAATGATACTGACTCTGAGCCAGTGTTTCTACTGTATCAAGTAACAATGATACTGACTCTGAGCCAGTGTTTCTACTGTATCATCAAGTAACAATGATACTGACTCTGAGCCAGTGTTTCTACTGTATTAAGTAACAAGGATACTGACTCTGAGCCAGTGTTTCTACTGTATCAAGTAACAATGATACTGACTCTGAGCCAGTGTTCCTACTGTATCAAGTAACAATGATACTGACTCTGAGCCAGTGTTTCTACTGTATCATCAAGTAGCAATGATACTGACTCTGAGCCAGTGTTTCTACTGTATCAAGTAACAATGATACTGACTCTGAGCCAGTGTTTCTACTGTATCAAGTAACAATGATACTGACTCTGAGCCAGTGTTCCTACTGTATCAAGTAACAATGATACGGACTCTGAGCAAGTGTTTCTACTGTATCATCAAGTAACAATGATACTGACTCTGAGCCATCATTTTGATAGCGTATTAAAACAGATCTGATGACAATAGCGTACAACCAATAAATAAACATCTATTAAGGGAGATAAGTGTTTCATATTGTTATAAATTGTAGTATTTCCATATAGACAGTTTCTATTCTAGCGACCACACTGGAGCTACATCAAGTGGCACCACAGTACGCACGCCTACGTCACCTTGGGAGCTGATGATAGTTACATTTATATTCCTCTCTTGTGAAGTCAGCAAATTAAAACATTTAATCAATATACGTCAATAGACGGATTACTTACGCTCAGAAGTATTTTATCAATAAGTACACATCCCTGTAAACACCAAAGATTTACAGGGTAATACGTCTAGACAGATGTCAAAACCATGTGTGGACGTCTGCGAACCAAGGAAATACAGCCAGTCTCGGCACTATTGTTCTTCAATAAAGAGATTCTATCGTGAGATCTGGCTTCAATATAACGTCCATACCAGATAACTACAAGCACGCCGGAGGGAGTTTGTACTTATTGTTTGGGTTTTAATGGAAAAAGAAAGAGAAAAAAATAAGATTGACATGAGGAAATCCCCGGACATTGTTATATGTGTGACCCTTGTGTTAGATGTAGTATTAGACGAGAAAATGCGGAGTTGGTCACCCGTCTAATACTACTTCCTACAAGATAATGTTGGTTATATTACTAGTAAGATTGATTCGCGTTCAAAGACGTAGTCACAACAAGCGCTGTGAATTAATGCCAAACACTTCTGAGCATCGAATAGGTTTCTTTTTCAACAAAAGAAGAAAAATGGATTTAGAAGAAAGTTGAGTACATGGCGTGGAGGAATAGACAGAATAGATACCAATCCTTCACAAAAGGTCGCACAATAAACGCGTAGAACCACCATCTTGGTAAGGAAAGTTGTGACAGACAAACAGTTGTAAAGTTCAATATAATAATGAAGAAAAAAAAAGAATTGAAGAAATGACTCAACGAACATTTTTAATTAACTTGAATATTGAATTTTTTTATCAACATTTGAGCTTCCTGCTGAGTGTACAGGGAATATTCTTATACCTGAATTATTCAATTCTTCCATACGCCAAAATTAACAAATGCACTCCGTAGATATATGGAAGGTGCCCATCTGTTTAAGTCCAATTTACGCCAACATTAAGGCTATTAACAAATTGGATGTTCTCGATAGAAACGAACATCACGTTTGTATTAGCAGGTCTAAATTTAGGAAATATTTTTGTTCAGCTGAAGGCTAAACCACTGGTATGTCTGATCTGATTGGAAACAATCACGATTTATAAGCAAATTGAAATAGTTAGTAATTGTGATAAATATCAAATAATTATAACCGATAAAACTGGTTCCCCATCAAAGCTCTTAAAAAAATACAGAACATGTGTTTTTTGTGCTTAAAGGGTTGAACTTACATTAAGCTACTATACAGATGAAAAACATCTATACTTAAATGTATATAAAACTAACTACGTGTGTATGTATTGAAATCGTTAACCCAGCATCTGTAAAATAACTGGCACAGTTAGCAGTTCTACAGAAAATTTACATTAAACCTGACTATGGCTAAATGTACGTATATATCACCAGAAAGGTTTCTTTACAATTCAGAATAAGACTGCACGACCATGGCTTTCGAATTCCCGTAGTAAAATTAATTATTTACTAGATCAGCCGGACCTGTGGTTATCAAAATGATATATTTTTATTTTACCAAACACCAGGTGACAGTCATGTCGCTATTTTTAGATACTTTGGAATAACGGATCAGTCTTACGGTGAACAAAACCATATAGTAAAAAGTGACCAGGTATTGAAAATATGGTTAACAAAGCGCCAAATAATAGGTAATATCTCTTGTTATGTATCCTCATAACAAAAAAATAACGTTTATACACCGGTATTTGTATTAGCTTGAACAATCTACATTGTACCCCCTCATGAAAAGGCAAGCTAGACGGAGTTTAATTGTCGATTCTTTTTTCTGTGTATTTTAACGACTTCGAATCTTTTTTAGTATATATATGATATATTTACCATCTCCTGGCGCCATTCTCGACTAGGATTATAGTTCAACCAGAAATATTGGTCCCTTCCTTAAAATGACAGTGTAGTTATCGAAACGTCGCACTCAAATTTCCCACCGGCTATGCTACACGAACTTTTAATAATACCAACCAAATGTTCCTAAATAACCAACAATAAGATTTTGAAGGATTAGGCCAATCTTTTATGCCATATGCTGACGATCCAGTGTTATTTTTGGCAACTTTAGAAAACTTACATGAATCAATATATCTTTATACGTAGGTCTATTACATACGTTCTCTAAATGTTTCTCATGTAAACATATTGTACGTAATTTATCTATACAGCTTTATCTAACCAAATTTATGCTTAAGACATATTTATTTGTTTAACCAATTTCGTATGTCCACACAATCTGTTATACTA